TTGAACTTTACTGAGGCTTATTCCAAGGAAGTGTGCATATATATGATAAGCATCAGTGTCGATACATTTGTATTACTACATGCTGGTTTTATGCTGTCTGTTCTCTCGGAATCTCAGGATACGTAGCCATTCCCCAATACCTTCATAATAATCCTGGAAGGTAGTTTATGCTGAATTGTTCTAAAATCATCAAGACGTTTTAGGACTAGATTCAGTTTTACCCTGGATTTCCACAATCCAGCATTTACTAGCATTGTGCTGGCTCTCACTTTAGCCTAGGATAATGATCCTACAGCTAGAAAAAAAGATAACCTTTATTGTCATTTTTGTTGCTTTGGATATTACCTTAAAATAGTTTAGTGCAGGGATAGGCAACCTTGGCTCTTTTATGACTCGTGGACTTCAACTCCCAGAATTCCTGAGCCAGCCAAGCTGGCTCAGGAATTCTGGGAGTTGAAGTCCACGAGTCATAAAAGAGCCAAGGTTGCCTACCCCTGGTTTAGTGCAATAGAAAATATCTTGCTTTTCTGTTGGGAAATGAGATGAACAAAAGTTTATATTTTTTGGCTTTACTTGCTAGCTAAAAAGAAAGATAATGTAGCATAATATATAAAATAATGTCCATTAAGCACACATAACCATATTCTCAGTTGAAATATAGGGGAACAGAGGGGAAAGTACATGCAGCCCTCTTTACTGTGGCTTTGTCTTTTGCACTTCAGGAGTAGAGAGGCCATAATCTGGCAATAGGTCTCTAGGTCTCTTATCAGAACAGTTAAAAATAGCTTTGGGAGGTGAGCGGTCAGGCAGGGTTTAGAAGAAGTAACCAATGACAAAGGGTTAAACTCCTCTGCATTTCTTCTCATCCAGCATATGAAATATTAAAATCTGTCAGCCCTCCAAGATAAATCAGATCAAGAATAGGCACTGCAGGGATTCTAGGAATGCAGTTTTTTTATTGCAGAGAATATTAACAGAATCTTGAAAGTCTGTCTGAAAACTGTATTATCCTCTTTTTAAGGACAACACAACCAAGCAGAGCTATCTTGACTCTCTTTCTCATGTTTTCTCATACAGTTTGTCAGGGCTGAGTCATTTCATCTCTCCCACTTCTGGCTCAAGGCCAGAGTAAAATTTCCCAGCAAAATCTTTCTGAGTGTTAATGGGTAAGAAAAAAAAAAGTTATGGGAGAGAGAAATGTAGAGGAAAGAGCAAACGGGGAAAAATAATCCTAGTACCAGCTGTTTTTTTATAGATTGCATTGTCTTCATCTGTGTTGCTGTTCTGTTTGGTGAGTTCTTAGTTTTGCATAGTTAGAGTCCAGCTTGCATGGACAATGAGTATTATAGACCAGAGGTCCCCAACTTTTTGGGCACCAGGGACCGGTTCTGTGGAGAAAGTTTTTTCCGTGGACCAGAGAGTGCGTGGTTTTGTGTGCTGCCTACATCCCATGGATGGGACTTTTCTTGTTTGGTTACTGGCATGCTGTGGCCCAGTACCGGTCCAGGTGTGAGTCATCGGAGAGAGTCTTGTGATGGGGAGATTACTTCAGGTCATGGTCATTGGAAGGTGAACTGCTGAGGGAGGGAGAGGGGGCTTATGTAGGTTGGTTGTGGGTTGGTGCTGTGTCTCTTGTTGGCTGTGTAATTGAATTGGATTCTGAGGGGTTCATAGGCTGATTGTAGATCAATATGTCTGTTGATGGAGTTGCTTATGGAGTGCCAGGCTTTGATGAACTCACGAGCATGGCAGGTGATAGTGTGGCCAATGATTTTAGTGTTGCTCCAATCAAATTGGTGTTGTTTTGGTGTTGTGTGGATAGCGATTAAGGATTTGGGATTGTGGCGTTTGACTGCCATGGAAGGAAGTATGTTTTTCCTTAAGATATGAATCCAACTAAATACTGAGTAGTTATCAGCTTGGTCACATGGCAGAGGTGTAGTCACTGTCATTCAGTTTTTTTCTGTAGGACAATAAAGATACTGTTCTACAGGTAACTGGAAGTGATGTGTATGAGCTTGAGATCAAGATGTAAGGTGGGGCTGCCCTCAATATTGCCTTGCAGTATGCAAGCCAAAGCTGTTGGATCTCACCACCAGGTTAGTCATAGATTTACCCAAGGCTTCTTGTTCTGGGGGATTTTGGTTTGCCTTTGTTGGAACCAAGGTTACCACAAGCCTAACATATAGCAGGCCACATATTAGAGTATGTGAGACATGATTTGAAGAGAGGGAAGATCAACCTAAATCCTATATAGTTCAAACACTTTCTGATTTCCATGGAATTGGCTGGTGTTACCAATGTCTTTAAGGAGGGTCTGCCTAAGTTATGGATCCAGTGGTTTCCAGATGACATTTGGGGAATTACCTGAGGCAATTCCGGGCAAATTTTAATCGAATATGGAGTTAATATAGTTCTTGGCAAGATTTCATCTAAGTGGCTTCTCCCTATGTGCCAGTCCAAAGGGGTTTCTCAGTACTGAGGAAGTCTGGGAGATGAAATGGGACAGGAGACTTCTGAAAAAATGCTGGCGAATGTTAAAGAGCTAATGTGTCTGAACACAGGTAGAAATTTACATGACAATAGGAACAGCAAAGTATTAATATTTCTCAGGACTTAGCACGTTATGGACTCGTTTAAAGTAACTCAGACCATTTTGGGGGAGGACTGGGTGGAAAATAAAACAGTTGTTGAATGTGATGAATTTGCAGAACATTTGGAAAATAAATAATTCTCATTGATTCAGATGTGGACAGTCGCTAGGCAAAGTCCTAAGAGATGGCAGGCAATATATTGAAATATTATTAAGACTATCAATCTAAAGAAAATGGATAGAGTTCTCTGCAACATCACTTATCACCTGTGGACTGAATCCCTAGATAACCTGAGAAGAGGTTGGATGATGTTGATACTTGACTATTTCCAAAAACTTGGGCCAAACTGGAGATGCAGGTATGGTTCTCTCCTGATGTGTAGAGGTTGTTAGAGTTTGGATGGGGAGAAACTTAAAATCAGTCCCAGCACAATAGAATGGTAAGGGTGTGAAAATCAAGTGATTCTAGTAAAATTTCATTTTTGATCCTGGATAGTATAGCTCAGGGGTCCCCAACCATGGCCACTCAGCATGGCTGACTGAGGAATTCTGGGAATTGAAGTCCACAAGTCATAAAGTGCCATGGTTGGGGACCTCTGGTGCAGCTCATCTCTTTGCACAGCATGTCTTCTTCTACATATAGCTTCAGTTGGAAGTACAGATGGAAACTATGGCCTGAAGGGCCTTTGCATGGTTCCATCTGGTGTGCCAATTGTGGCTTTACTACCAATGGATTTCCAGGTAGAACTCAAGGTACTGATCATTAAAGTCCCTTTTACGATTCAAAATCTGGATCTCTTCAAGACTGCTTTCTTTGAGTGAAACTTGATCATCTGATAAAATAAAAAAGAAGGCTTGCTGCAGAATTTCATTATTATGGACTCTTAGGTGAGAATTCTCTGCAGTGCTGCCCCTTTCTCTGGAAAAAGGTGCTCCCAGAAATGAGCATGGCCATTTTCCTACAATTGTTTCATTCAGAAAAGCTATGAAGACCTAGCTTTTTAGGGAGGTCTGTGGGGAATGCGATAGATTGAATTGCTGCTGATAAAGTGGTGCTTAGTATGTGGTGGAAGATTAAGATTAATCATATTGTGTTTAATATGATTTAGGGTTTTTTCCTGTTATTTAGTATATCTGTAACCAAGTTATCATGAGGAAGATTGTAAGCCACTCAGTTTTTACTGCAGCATCAGTGCTCTTTCCCACTCTTCCTAGGTGTCAGATATTAATTTCTCTAAATTCATAAGCCACAGTTATATTTAAGAAGTTTCTTTGCTCTTTATAATGCAAACGTTAGTTATTTTGCTGTTTAGTAAGAGTAGTTCTCCCTCTCCTTTGTAAAGACAGTAGTTCAGAATGCCATGCCTTACCAGTTGTATGTATTTGCTGAGATTAAAAAATAAAACTCGTTAAGAAAGGCCAGCACCAGATAAGCAATGGAAAAGTGCTCACCTCATTGAGTTAGACTCCCCTTTGGGAGATCAATAACATAAAGAAACAAGTCTATGGAGATTCTTAGTCATCCAAGTCATGGTTATCCCAAAGGTTCTTTTCAAATGGCAACTGGATTTTCTTGGTTTTCTTCCTTGAAAATGTTTCACTTCTCATCCAAGAAGCTTCTTGAACTGAAGAAGCTTCTTAGATGAGAAGTGAAATGTTTTCAAGGAAAAAAACCAAGAAAGTTCAGTTGCCTTTTGAAAAGCACCTTTGGGATAAAGAAACAAGCTGATTCCAAATGCAGATTAGCTAAGACCTAGAATTCAAATTTCTTAAAGATGAATTGTGGGTCAAACTCTATCAATATCGTTAAGCAGAAGCTGCCCTTTTCCATCAGCATCTAAGGGATAATAGACAATGTGGCTGGACACATTTGGAGATAATTAATTGGAAAATACTTGGACCAGGAAAATGACATTCAAGTTCTGACTTGACTATCAAGGTCAATGATGATCTTGGCACATTCCTATTAGGTGATGTTTTGTCCATAAGCAGGCTTAGCAACTTTTAGCTGGGAAAACATATTGTTAATTCCAGTGAGGAAGTTTTCTGTACTTACCAGCACAAAAAATGTCTATCCTGCTTCACAGAGTTTGATGATGATGATGATGATATAAGCAAATAAAGAAGAGAAAAGCATATCTATGTGGCGTGAACTACTTGGGAAAAAGTGGATTTGGGGAGGTTGGAAGAAAAATAAATGTGTTAATTCCTTTAAAGGCTTAAGAGACATATTTTCAGTATTTTGGGGAAGGGGGCAAAACCTGTCCTGCTGAAAGTTGCTGTTTTTGCTCATGACGTTCAGCAGCCTGATCTGAGAGAAGAGGGCCTTGGGCTTCAATAATTGTGACCTACCTCTGCTCAAAATGAAGCTGCTGATAGTTGAAGGAGCCTGTTATCTCTTCTGCAGAAGACTTGGTAGCTCAACAGACTGAGGAGGTGTTCCAGAGCTATGCTTTCCATCGATACCAGCAGGAGCAGGAGCAAACTGAGGGGGATGTGCCAGTTGACCCAGAAATTGCCGCAATTCAGCAGGAGCCAAATAGGTAAGTACCAAAGGCTCTTAATATTTACTTAGTCTGCCTCCATGTTCCAATTTAACCAGTTTATTTTTTTCATTGTGCAGCATCAACAGTCAGGTGGGTCGACGCTTGGCTATCATTGCTGATGACATCAATGCACGGTATGACAAGGAGTTTTCTGAGATGCTGAAGTCCTTGCAGCCTTCTAGGGACAATGCATATGAGTACTTCACCAGAATAGCCTCCAGGTAAGTGAGACCAGGGCCCTCAACCAGAGTTTGATGCGTATGGTTTTTTTTTTTAAGGTTGTGGTTGATGTTAACCTCTATACTGCTTGTGCAATGACAAGAATTTCTGGTGGTAATGCAAACCAGACAAATAACAAAGATGGAACAGACCAAAATAACAAATATTGTGTTTTTTGATTTCCATCTGGCTTAAGCTGTTCTCACAATCTGATATATCAAATATTTTTTTAAAAAAATATGCTAATTACTATCTTGGTGCCAAAATCCAGCCCCTAATTTAATCATATGCTGCTGTCACTCGGGTAACACATGTTCTCTGTAAAGAGTGCAGTACTGCAGGCCACTTTAGCTGACTGTGTTCAGCAGGTCAGCGGTTCAAATCTCACCAGCTCAAGGTTGACTCAGCCTTCCATCCTTCCGGGGTAGGTAAAATGAGGACCCAGATTGTTGGGGACAATGTAAATATATATATACATTGCTTACTGGTGTACACCGCTTAGAGAGTGCTTGCACTTAAAGCGGTATATAAGTCTCATAAATAAATAAAATGACTTTTGAGCCTTCAGGAGAATTGGAGGGATCTTCTCTGACACTCAGAGCATCTCTTGATACAGGAATCCTTTACTGGATTTACTATTGTGTTAAGTGTAAAGGCAATTGGCTCTTCAGTTAAAGTTTTTTTAAAAAACCTTCTGAATATAAGGCCAGCCTTGTGGCATCTTATAAAAACATTCATGTTTGAATGTTTGCATTCATGTTTACTGGAATCTGCATGGAACCTGCAATTCTGTGGCCTCTGGAAAAGGTTCCCACAGAGCAAAGGCTATGTCAGATTTTCCCCTTCCCCTATGAAGGTGAAGAGAAAGGATCAACTTTGGGCAAGGTGCTGTGACTTCAGAAGCTGTCTCCCAGCCTCACTGAAGCTAAATGAGGCCAAAAGTTCCCACAGAGCAAAGGCTATGTCAGATCTTCCTCTTCCCCTATGAAGGTGAAGAGAAAGGATCAACTTTGGGCAAGGTGCTGTGACTTCAGAAGCTGTCTCCCAGCCTCACTGAAGCTAAATGAGGCCAGTTCATCTCCAGAATCAGATCCAGGATATATCTATCATCTGGAGCTCCTTGCAGGATGGGATCCAAACCAGATTGGAAAAAGAGGATGGAATCTTCAATCACACAGAGTAGTGGCCACCATCTTGATTCAGGGCTGGTGGCTGGGGTACAGCAGCAGGAGTAGACTATAAGCTTGCCTATAGCTTGCCTGCCTATAAGCTTGCCAGATGTGTTATCTTAGCATGGGAAAGAGGATGCTGGACTCCTCTTTCTCTTTAGATTCTTAGGCCAGTGGTGGCGAACCTATGGCACGGGTGCCAGAGGCGGCACTCGGAGCCCTCTCTGTGGTTGCATGTGCCGTTGCCCCAGCCTTGACTCCCCCGTGACACCCTCCTCACCAGCAGCCCTCCTGGAGAAGGGTCGCCCCTGAGCATGGCCCACGCGGAGCAGTCTGTCAAGGACATGGCAGCCAGGCAGTGTAGACAAGACTCTGCCCTCACGCCCCATCGCGCACAGTTGATGCTGCGGGGCAAGGGTAGAGGGAGTGGCTGCCATGGCGCTGCTGAGCGATCTGCGGCGGGCCCTGGAGGCGGTAAGGTGGGGTGGGGGTAGAGCAGAGGCGGGGCAGGGGGTGGAGTGGGGACAGGTCCAGTTTGGGGGCACTCGATCTCTAAAAGGTTCGCCATCACTGTCTTAGGCCATCAGAAGTATCATGAAGGCAACAAGAACCATTATGAACCTGGAGATTATAATGGCAGGGATACCCAGACAAGAGACTGTATGGAATTCCAAGGTGGTTTATGGTGTTTCACTTAGAAAAGTCACAGTTTTCTCCTCTGTTTCTTTCCTTTTTTTTCCCCTTTGATTTTTATTAAAGAAACAAAATGACAAAGTAAAAATCACCAACAGAGAGAAAACAGTGACAATGTATACACATGCATCTTTACATTCACAAACATTGTTTTCCTGTTCCATCTAAAGATCATTTAACTTTCTCTTCTGTCCTCTTTTCTTGCTCTCCCCTCCTTGGGAAGCCAAGTTTCACCATTTTGCTGCCTTCAGGTAAACTAGGTACCAGGTAAACCAGCACCTACTGTGCTTTCTCTTTCCTTTTTTTCAGTTGCTATGTATGGAAACACTCTCTGTGCTGTGTCTGCTAAGTTTCCAGCTGCACTCAAATGCTAATGTTGCCTTATAAAGCTGATTTTTAAAAATTGGACTATCAGAATCATCTTATCCCATCAGATAGCTAAATATTATTTCCAAGCAACCATACATCAAGTTAAAAATGAAATATCTATAGCCACATGCAAGCACAGATTTTAAAAAGGATGCTGCCCAGCTTCATGGTGGCAGAAAAAGCCTTTATGGAGCAGAAAGAAAGGCCAGCTTCTCTCCCCCCCCCCCCCAGAGTGGGATAGCCAAATCAGAACTGATCCTGTAGATTTAAGTATGTGGACATTTATGTAGATTCTCAGTCATCCAGATCATGGTTGCCCCAAAAGTGATTTTTCAAAAGCGAACTGGACTTTGTTTTTTCAGTGGACAGGCAAAACATCAAAAGGGGGGGGCAGTTTCATTTTGCTATTATGTTTAGCAACCAGTGACCAGAAAGGCAAAGCAAAGATGTAATGACAGATATTTCACATTTTTCCATCATTTTATAGGGTTCCCCTCCCTCCCTCCCCCCGTTCCTTGCTTAGGGTGCTGAGCTTTTCCAAAAAATTATCTTGTCATTTCTTTTTCCCCTTAGAAATTAGTAAGAACTTGCACTGCTTACATTCAGTGATCTGTTGCCAAATTTTGGTGTTGGGGTTCTGTAACGTTCCAGGGTTGTCAAACAAAGGGATTGTGGGTGGCAGGTTGTCTAGTTTGAAACAGGTCTTTGTGTTTAAACTTTTCAAAACCATTTGAAAAAGCCTAGAGATTGAAACATGTGGCATCTCAGCCTTTCTCCTAGATTTATTGTAAGAGCAAGTAATAGGAAACGGGGCAGGAGCATTAATGTTCATTGCCTTGAGTTTTATATGTAAAAAGATGGCATCAGAATCTAATCATCATCATGATTATCATTAGTCTGGGAAGCCCATCAGATTCAGAGGAAGAAAGGTACTTTACACAGTGTTTCACAGCTTGACGATGAGTGGGACTTGGCTAGCTGGAGAATTCTGGGAGTTGAAGTCCAGTCATCGTAAAGTTGCTAAGGTTGCGATACACTTCTTTAAAAAGTGCACAGGTACACATATAACACCTGTCAACAGTTTCCTTAAACTGCACAAGTCTTTTCCCAGGTCAAGCTACAGTTCTTCTTCCCGTTAGAATATTAGCATGAACAAGATATTAGTTGCTGTGATCAAGGCCTCTGTGTAATGCCTTTCCTGAATCAGCAAAAGAACTGAAAATATGTAATTGGAACTAACCTTCTCTTCCTCAGTTTGTTTGAAAGTGGCATCAATTGGGGTCGTGTGATAGCCCTGCTGGGCTTCGGCTACAGGATGGCAATCCACGTATACCAGCATGGGATAACTGGTTTCCTGAGAAGAATTGCACATTACATGGCTGAATTTGTGCTACACAATCGCATTGCACAATGGATTGCGCAGCAAGGAGGATGGGTAAGTGAACTGAAGAAACATCTTACCTGAGTACACTTTGAAATATATAAATTATATGAGCCTGTAGTTTGTATAAAGTCTCTTTCTCCATTTAGGCAACTAGAATCTAGTCTGATGAGCAGTAACAATCTATGGCTTCCAGATGCAGTGTGGAAGCCTAACATCCTGCTTGCCTCTTTCAACTGAAGAGGCCAAAGAAAATTCATAGCTGCTCTTAGCAGGAATTTGAGTCAGAGACCTTTGGAACCTATAAAGCAATCTTTTCAACGGCATTGTTTGATGGAGGCTGTCCAAGATTGATTGATTGATTGGCAGATGGGTTGATTGCTTTGCTATAATTTATATGCCACTCAGTTCAAAAATGCTCAAAGTGGTTTCCAGGAAGGGCATTCCTAAATCTACTTGGGGATACTGAGCCAAATATTTTCTGTTTCTAAAGATGCATTCTGCCTCTGAACCAGGTTGCAAAACAGCTAAGCAGACAGTAAAATAATATATGGACCTTGATGAATAATGGTGAAGAAAGGCAGTGTGGATGGTTATCTTTCTTCTAAAACCCAAGGGTATACTTTTTAGTTCTTCAGATACTAGGGTCCCTTTCCAGAATTACTCTTTTGAAAGAATATGCTGAGAGAAGATCTTAAAACAGCCTTCCTCGACTTGATGCTTCCTCTCTTTGGGATTATAATTCCCACCATTCCCAGTGAGCAGGCTGATGGCAGTGCTTTGTGTTTAAAACCGACACTTCTAGATAGCACCAGGTTGGAGAAAGCTAATACAGAATTGGATTTATAACAGTACTCTTCTGTCTCTAGGTGGCAGCACTGGACTTGAGCAATATTTATTGGAAATACATTATGATAATCACAGTGATTGTGCTGGGCCAATTCATTCTACGCCGTTTCTTCAATCAATGACAGGAAAAGAAAATGCTGCTGGTTTATTGCATAAGAAAGAAAGATCCAAGAAACAACAACCAGGGAAAGTGGTGCATGTTACCAGCTTCTATTCTACCAGGACATCTGTTTATTTATCCTCTGCGTGGTGATTCCAAAGCAAAAGAGCCTGTAGTTTAGTTAAAAGAAGAGTGGAACCAACCATGAGGCAGAATTTACTGCATCAAGCGGCCATTGACCAGCAGGTCTTCATGAGAAACTTCAGGCAAGTACTCATGGTATTGCAGATGAGAAAAATAGATGCGCTTTCCTCTGCAAAGTCTTTTTAAGAAGAACACAACCTTTTAGACATCATTCTCAGGACTAATTGAATTCTCAATCAACTGAACTTCATCACCATAGAAAGAGCAGAACCACATTGGAATGTTCCTTCATCTGTGCAGATCAGTTTTGAGCAGTTCTGCTTCTATGAGCTAGAGCAGGGCTGAAATAATTGAGTAATTTTAGAGCTCTCTGGATTTATCTGAGAATTACATGCAAGATTAGATATGCTAGATATGAATATATATCTAGATATTCCAGAGGAGAAGAGAAAAAAGTGGTAGCTATATTATTTTATTGGCACTTTTTCATTCACTTGATAATTGCTGTCCTAAGTTAGTTGTAATAATGGGCAGAGTAGCTCCCCTTGCTTTGAAATAATATTGCAATGAGACTTCTGAGGTGAAGAGAGTCAGCTGCTTGTAAAGATTAAGAAATGAGGCCTGTTTCTGTTCAAAGGATGGTTCTCTATTTCCCTTTTGATTAAGTATGATTGTGGTTCACCTCAATGGTGCGTGTGCATTTGGGAGTGGGTGACAATCGCACAAAGGAGGGACAAAATGTGATTTCCTGCTATCATAGGAGCTGGAATCTCTGCTTTCCCTACTGGAAAATGGGCAAAATCCAGTCAGGTTGAGCAAATTTTAAGGCCATTTCCTATGACGTTGGTGAGGCTTGCTTCTAAGTAAATATGCATAGAATCAGGCTGCAAACTTGTATTGATTTCAGTGAGAAATTGAATATGTGCTAAAACTTCCATTTAAAATTGGTGGAATATATACAAATGCTTAACATTGTTTGGATTGCGCTTAACTAAATTCCCCCTTCTCAATGGGAACACAGAATTCTTTGAACCAGAAGCAGGAAAATGTGCAAAGCTGAAATTTTCTATTCAAATAATTGTTTTTTTTTTAATCTTGCGTGTTTTTTTAATTTTATTTTTTTTAAAAAAAAAAAATCCAAAGCTAATTCTGGTATTTCTCTTCCAATACTCTCCCAAATGTTTACTTTATATAGCTTTTTTCTGATACTGAGTCTCATTTTGATGTCTAAGATAAAATTACTACTATGTCAGGAAAAACTGACATTTTGGTTACAACTCTGTTCTCTTTCCATGCTTTATAAAGCCATAACTCAATAGTGAAATTTGAGTAGTTTTTCCTGCCATTCAGTTACCAAAAATTCTTAAGCAGATGACTTGAATATAATAATATTTTTTATATTTCTGATTTAAAAAAAAAGATACTCTGAGATTTCCTGAATGCATGTGTCAATTTATTTTTAATACTGAAAAAAATAGCGGTTTTCCGTTTAAAGAGAGTATCAATCTGAACCTGGTCATAGTCTTAAAAGAACAGTCATAACAAAGGATAGATAAATCTATCTATTTCTTTTTACATGAGTTTGAGGATTTCAGCAATCTTTGAACTTCTTGTGGCAGAAGAGTAACCTAATATACTCATTTTAATGCACTTTTCTTCTTGAGTTTTCCTTAAAAATTATATTCATATCTTATCCTAATATAGACATTTTTGTGTGCACATCTCCTTAATATATCCTTTTTATATGATTATTTTTGAATTGCAAATTGTATCTCAAAACTATGAAAAGTGCAGATTGCAGTATGTAGATTTATAATAGTGAGCCTGATAAGTTCCTATACTAATTGAACAAATTTCTCTCTTATTCCTAAGCAAGGCACTGTGCCATGTTTATTTTATACCTGCTTATTTCAAAGGATGTCCCCTTTTTTGGGCTGGAGCATACTGACAGTCTTGCAATTCTGGAACTATTCTAATCTTTAGAATAAATCTATTTCCATAAATTCTTTCTAAAAGAATACCTTCTAAAGCCCTTCGTGTTTGAATGGTTCAGCATAGTAGCTTAAGATAAGATGACTTATAATTAGGGGTTCAGGCAAATGTTTCTTGTAAGTAAGACTTGTATGATGGTCATAATTACAACCAGAGCAAATAGATTGTGCAGTTAATGTCACTGGTTGATCTGAAGTTTGCTCAGTTTTTCACCAGTGCAGTGAGTAGGGTTTTTTTCTGTAGTCCACAAAACCACTAAAGCAGCTACTGATATATAACAGCCCAGAGCAGAGATACTTGGGAGAGCATTGTGGGAAAAAAACTTTCTTAATATTAGGATCAACATTGGGATCTGCTAAGTACTTGAAGCATCTATTGTGGTTAATTTTGCTTCCTCGATGCTGCAAATGAATTGGGTATTTTTTCTCAATAACTTCTTTTGAGGTCCTATCCCAAGTTTGCCTATCCCAAGTTTGCCTATCCCCTTGAATCTACCTCAGATTCTCAGGTTCGGGTCCAAGGGAAATCAAGGTCCCCATCACTGAAACTGACCATAGTCAGGAGAGGAGCATCTTTTAGCCAGGTGCAGAGTTTGTTGAGATCTAGGTTTCTAGTCCTCCAGTTGATTCATTTATACCAAGCAGCAAAGTTTTCCTCTCTCCCTCCTGCCATTATTCTGCTATCTTTGACAGGTTTATGTGAAGGCCTTCATCATTCCCACACAATTCTCTTGCTTTAGGCTAACTTTGTCTATACGCAGCATTGAGGCTATCTTAGGTGCCACCTAGAGGCCCTGGAACTGATTGCTTTTACAGCAGGGCAGACTGGAATTTGTGGACTTTTCTGCCTCGGGCATCAAAATAATTTGGCTAATTTTGATATGATAATCTTTAACTTTGCAAGCAAGAAAAGCAACAGGAGATTTTGCTCTTCTGCCTCAGGTGACAAAAAGTTTTGGGCTAATGCTTTATATCAGTGTTTCTCAACCTTGACAATTTTAAGGCATGTGGACTTCAACTCCCAGAATTCCACAGCCAGCAATTGTCAAGGTTGAGAAACACTGCTTTATATGAATGAGAAAGTGAGCCCACAAATGCGTAAATAAATAAAAAGAGGATGCCCAATGAGATTTGCAAAGCAAAGCTGGACATGACTTCCAAGGACATTTTCCAGAAGCTTGAGGAACTCTAGTTGACTAATGCAGGCAAATAATTACATAGAATAAATGCCTAGCTGCAGATAGGCTTAAAAGAACATCATTTGCTTTGCTGCATGTCCATCTTTTATCCTCCCCTACATGTCCATCTTTTATCCTCCCCTGCAAGTTGGAGAAAATTTGGGTCTCATTTCTACTGTCTTCATGGGTATTATGCCAGAAGTTTAATAAATACCTGTGATGGTCCAATTGCCTCTTACTATATAGCATGGTGCTTTCTGCGGCCTTTACTAGCTGTGGATGCTTGGGACATCGCTTTGTCAGATGTCCCCCAGGAAAAGATAGCATGTGGCTTTTTAAACATTTCATTATAGGTATAACTGTCATGGAATCCCAGGACCCATCTGAAAATCTTGCTGCAGATTGCAAAGTAGACAAGATGCTCTAACCAGGCTTATTGGCTCTGCTACCCAGTCTGAACTGAAGGGCTGCCTTACATCATCTCCCGGTCTGCCTGACCTGCTAGGAAAAACCATGGTGGCGGTAGAAAGTTCTCTTTAAGAGAAAATTGTCTGCTGGTTTAAAATGTGAGTAACCTGAGCATTTTAACCCATAAACATGTAACACAGAGCCTGATCTTTGTCACTCTGTTGATTTAAGATGTATTAGCTTCAGCACATAAAGGACTTGACATTAAGTGGTTTTTGAGAACTAGATAACACCATTTGATTTAAATTCTCCATCTGAGCCATGGAATATATGCTTCACTAAACCATTGTATGCATTCCTGATGACATTTATGGCCACTTTGAATTTACATTCATGAAGGTTGAAAACAATGGTTTAACTAAATAAGAACTGTCCAGTCAATGAAGAAATACATTGTTTTTTTTCCCTTTAGCTATAGTTTTGTTTTTAAAATTAAATACTTGAGGGGAATATAGTAATGAATGGCTTTGCTTCTTTTTTGCTACTTTGTTACTTTTTGTTTCCATGCATCATACCCTGTTTTAGAACCCACTTTCCTCAGGAGTTTAAAGGGAATTAAGTAAACACAATAGTGCAACTTGTCAACTTTTAGGATCCATGGACTTCAACTCCCAAAATTCCCATGCTGGCTGGGAAACTGTTTAATAGGTACTAGCCTTTCTGCCAAGCAGCTAGAATCACCTTTTTTCCATTATTTTATTTAGAAATTTGAATTGCCAGAGAAAGCAAGAGGTTTCCACTCAGAAAATATCTCTGGAAGAGCTGCAGTTTTCAAATCACTGTAGGTAGGTACCATCAAACCCAACCATAGATAGACAGGCTTTGGAATAAATTCAGTTTTTGAAGGATTTAGTTGAGATCTTAACTATCCTTTCAACTTGCACTGGAAGTTGAGGTTTGGAAATGTGGTTAAATACAGAATAGAAGCTGGTAAAGATGCTTCATCTGGCCTCAGTGTATCAAGGAGGAGAAACATTTCTGTTGTTGTTGGATAAAGAAGATAATCAAATCAATCATGTCTTAAGCAAAAGAGAATCACAGGTGGGTTCCAGTCTACCTCCATCATAGAAAAAAAGAAAGTAAACCTTCATGGGGAGGGTGCTATTATTTCTTGAGATACAGAAAATGTGCCTTATCATATACCATAAATCTACAAGTGTTTCATTGTATGCCATATCCATGAGGAAATGTATTGGGTTTTTACCAAAAAGCTGAATCTTTTATGTATTTTTTTTAAAAAACAAATCCTCAAATTGTGAAGTGCCTAGCACACCGTTTGTTGATGGAAAATAAATGCTATACAGCAGGGTCTGTAAAATATATATGATACATACACGCACACATTAAAATAAAATGTGTTTACTGATACGCTTTTCTATTCTTTGAGCAGAAAACTCCAAATGTATATTTGAATGTTCTCTTGTTATTAAGAAAATCATTGAAAAATGTAGGTGGTCTGAAAGGTACCTGTGACTTACAGTCATCACCCTGGAGTGTGTATGCCATAAAGGGTATTGGTAATGCTATGTCCAGGATTGGATGTTGCAGCTTGAATATGCTTTTCTGTTTCTAAAGTATAAGATTATATTTTCCATGTTAACAGTCTGATGAGCATAGACAATTAAAGAGAATTGGAAATAACCAGAGGTTAATGGAGGAAAAAGTCAGTTAACTTATATAGCCATAATGTTCAACATGGAAAATAGAAAGGAGGCCTTAGATTGCAATCTGATATATTGTAGTGTAGAGGGGGTGCCTCCCTTTCGGAGCTGAGGGCCATTCCTGGCCTTTAAATGGCATGCCAATGGCCCATATTTCAAAAAGCAGCAAGACAAAGACACAGAACTGTATTTCAATTGATTTCAATTTCATTCAATTTAAAATCAAAGATCCTTTAAGCAGTTTTATTATTTCAATTTTGAGTACAAACTGCAGCCCATGCAGAAAAAGCTCTCTTGTCAGCACCAACAGCAACTGGCTGAATGTTCTGCTCAGGGTGGGCCATTTGATATATACACATACATCTTTAGGATGGATCAAAGCAAAATTGTTTTGCATAGCTGTGATTAAGCCTAATTAAAATAGCAAATATTTGTAGGTTTGTTTGAAAATTACAATTCATAAGGACTTTTGGAAAGGCTCCGGAAGCATTATCCAAAGTGGGAAGGGTGGCAAATTGGGCACCTCCCATGTCCACTCTTGCCAATGATTAATTGGCCTGTTGAATTCTAATAGGCTTATTTGTCAGACATGTAAGGAATTGCACAATTGTAGAATTTTCAAAAAATGGAGCTTGTCATCATCTTATGGTGAGCATTCATTGCATGCCAACAAAAATTAGCTTAGCTTCAGGCAAGTGTATAGCTATTTATTACTGTAAGATAAGACTGTCATTTATTATGTATGGGATCCATTCCTTAAAAAGCCGAGTTATGTTGTGCTCAGTTTTGCACAACATGAGGTTCCATCATTATTCTCCAAAGATAATGGGAGTAATAGAAATTGGACTTCCCACAGCTACACTCATTGCTCAACTCTGTTGCAGAAAAACTATAGATACATTTGTTACAATATTTTATTATTATCTTGGGTTGCAATCTATTTAAACATATAAAAATAAAAAGAAGAGTATTAAATATCTTAAAATTAAAAAGTGACTGGTTTTGACTGTTGGCTTATTATAGCAATTCCTAGGGAAGCTATTTGGCTCTGTGTTTGCAGCTGTTCAAAGAACTCTTGGGGCTTTTGCAGTCTGAACATGTCTCAGTGACATTGCAGCTACCGTATTTACTAGAGATACCCAGCTTTTGAATCTCAGGGACTTCATTTCTTTCCCCCTGAGTTTTGGGTTTCTGCTCTGCGCAGTATTAAATATTTGGAAATTGTTTAATTTTTCCAAATACGTAAAGTATACCTGTCCTATTTTCAGCCAGGAAAGGAAACTTTATGCATTCCTTTAAAACAGGAGACTCAAAATATTTTGGATTTGAACCAAAATTTGGATATTTTGAGAACATACTGCATGCTAGCAGGCATGACCAGTCACAAAAATTTCTAGAAAGCAAATATATTTTAAGGATATCGCAATAAGAAAAAAAACATCAAAACTCAGTTTGGAATAAAACCAACTCGTTGGAATATTCTTTTTCCTTGGAACATTTTGCATAGATTGCAAATTCCAATCAATATATAGAGCAATGGATCTAAATAACAAGTCTGCCAATAAGTTCATCAAAGAATTGACCAAGGGAACAATTTTTAAAAAAAATTATCTCTAGAATAATTTGGAAAACACACAGATTTTAAAACATGTTTTCTTTAGAGCTCGTACAATTGGAAGTGACTGGCCACACAATGTTTGTTTCAGATAATTTTGTGTACTCGTAATGATTTGCCCCCTGCCTAACTGCTGTGGCCATGGAAAGCTGCACAGCTCCATATCAAGGAGACACCTCGGTGTCAATTGCTGCAACAATCCAATTTGAAGTAGCTCCTTCAGTCAAAAACTCAAGTTTCTCCACACTGAGGGCTTCATGCTGGTGGAAAAGATATCTGCTCCAGTGCTTCAAATGTGGCAGGCGATGTATGTAGTTCTAGGGGGCTTGAAGCAAGCATTTTACTGTAATTCAACAAAATGTGGAGCAAATCAGCTGTATCAAAGTGCTTGTTTTAAGCCTCACTGCCTCTAGATAACGTGGAATTCAGAGGTTTTTTTTAAAAGGTTTCTTAAAAAATAAAGCTATAGTTGGAAACTGATGTTTGATTGGCCTCTATTTTGAAATTATGGGTGGGGGAGCTGGGGGGAATTGGACTGGACAGAGGCTGGTTGTTGCTAGGCATCATGTTGGATATCCCAATTATAAGCAAAGAGGGCAGCAATCCTTCGCTAATGGGGCAAGAGTTGTCCCCAAGTTTAAGACTCCTATAAAAATGTGTAGACTTGACATCATGAAAAAACCACTAATGTGGAGTGAAAATAGTTCAAATAACTAATGAATAAATGAAAGAGGACAGTCAGTAGATACACTTTCTACTGACAATGCTGAACAAGAGTATTGTTACCAAAGGGTGCTCTAAAATGTTCCTTTTGCTGAGTAATGTTCCCATCATGCAACTCTTAGCAAGAAGCCCTTTAGTCTTTCTACTTGCAATCTACTAACCTCAAGGATGAGTGGAGCAGTGTGATTCTTCTAGCACTCTCTTACTTTATATCTAGTCCTTGAATTATGAGATCATCATTTATTCTTAATGCCCTGCCTGTTGGCAGATTGGCCAGTGGCCTACAGAAAGAGACTCAGAAAGAATGCTTGCAACTGCACCTGCTGCCACAGGCTCTTTCTCCTTTTGTTCAGAGAAAGGTTAAATTGTAATGAAAGACAAACAGCCCTCATAAAAAGTGCAGCTGTCTACCCTGCTGAGGCTCCTAATGTGAATATTGCCTCTCCATATTGCCAGGGGGATGATATGATAAATGAAAAGTTCTCACACGCGGTCTTGTCAATGAAGGCAACATTGGAGCAGGGACATTTCAGTCCAGAACCATCTTTGCTACTGATTTTCTGCTTCATAAGCAACACAATTATCTGTCCTGGGTGAAAGAAAGAGATGGGATGAAAGGGAGGCTATAAAAGGGAGAATGGCCACAGAGAAGAGAATCAACAATCGGAAAGGCCCTCAGACTCCATCCTGCAGAGCCTATAGTGGCATTTATCACTTTTTTACTAAACACCTAAACCCAAATAAAATACAAGAAGATGTGGCTAGAAGAAGCTGTGTCTTATTGCCTGCAATCTGTTTCATTTCCTTCAAGTCCTCAGCTGAAACAAGTGCAACAAATCTTCCACTCCAGCACCCAGAGGAGCTCTGGACCACCAGGATTAATTCAAAATGTTTATTATTTCCTTTTATTTGCAATATATTTTAACCTGCACCAGCCTCTTCAGGCTAGGGCCTCTCTTCTAGCTTTTGGCACCAAGTTGAAAGTCTAGAGCAGTGTTCCTCAAGTTCAGCAACTTTTAAGATGTCTGGACTTCAGCTCCCAGAATCCCCCATGCTGACTGTGGAATTCTGGGAATTGACATCCACACTTTAACATTGCTGAGCTGGAGAAACACTACTCTAGAGCATCCCCTACAAAAGGAGGCGGATCCAGCTATTCCATTTGTGGCTCCAATCTCAATTAGACACCTGGGGATTAAAAATAAAAAGCCACATTCCAATCTATTTAGGACCATAAAAGTGCTGAAGGTACTGCACAAAAAATATTTACAAAAAAAAATCACCATCAAGAAAACTCCAAGGAAAATACTGGTAATGTGGCAGTGCTGATTGGTGAAGCCACTTTCTAGTAGAATCCATTAGCAGAAGGGCCAAAGAGAAAGTGGGCTTTTTTAATCTTTTAGCAGTGAGATGGTGGCTGGGAAGGCAAAGGATGCCTCATTCTGTGCCATGGAAACATCTTGTTACTGATTGGCTAGACTCTCCACTAATATACATGTGTATGTACATATATCTCCATCAACCTATCTATGCCGCTTTGAAGAAAGCAACATTATGCAAAATGAAGAAAAGTGGTAAGAGATCATGAACAAAAGAAAATAAAGGCAGGAAATAAAAAGAAAAAGTAAAGCAAACTCAATTGAGTCAGTACTAACCCCATTCACTAGTGCAGGGGTTCTCAACCTTGGCAACTTTAAGACTTGTGGACTTCAACTCCCAGAATTCCTCAGCCAGTTTTAAAGTTGCCAAGGTTGAGAACCCCTGCACTAGTGCCTCTCCATAGATTTCTGTCCTTAACGAACCATTCCACTTCCATCTCTCCACACATCCATCCATACGCTGCCTTTTATCCCTGAAGTTTAGATGCTCTCTCTGGGGGCTGCCTTTGAAGATCACCCAGGAAGTGCAATTGGTTCAGAATGCAGCAGCTCTCTCAATGGACATTTATTCCTGGAAGCATATCTGTATTGCTAACACTGCATTGGCAGCCAATAGTTTACACCTGTACAATCCAAAGTGCTGGTTATTACCCATAAAGCCATTTATTGCTTGATGTCTTGGCACGTGCTGGATTTCCTTCTCCAAGCAGAGTCGATTCTTCTGAGATTCCTCTCCATAAAACTGTTGGTGGTGCCTCATTTCCTTGAAGTGAAAAGGGGCTGCTTTTTGGTAATATCCCTGTAATTTGGAACAACCTCTTCCAGAACTAGATTAGCCCTTTATGGTAGTTAACTAAAACTGAGCTCTTCTGGAGAGCATGGGAGATTAATGAGATGTTGCTATCTGTGTCTAATTAACTGCTCTATTTTATATTTATATTTTTTTACTTTGGACATTTTATTTCTTTGCATTGATGTCTGTATTTTTTT